GCCCGGCTAATTTTTTGTATTTTTAGTAGAGACAGGGTTTCACCATGTTAGCCAGGATGGTCTCGATCTCCTGACCTTGTGATCCACCCCCCTTGGCCTCCCAAAGTTGTTGGGATTACAGGCGTGAGCCACTGCGCCTGGCCTTGTTTTAACTTTTTAATTTTTTTTGAGATGAAGTCTTGCATTGTTGTCCAGGCTGGAGGGCAGTGGTGCAATCTCGGCTCACTACAACCTCCGCCTCCCAGGTTCAAGCAATTTTCCTGTCTCAGTCTCCTGAGCAGCTGGGATTACTGGCACCTGTCACCATGCATTTTTGTATTTTTGGTAGAGACGGGGTTTCACCATATTGGCCAGGCTGGTCTCAAACTCCTGACCTCAAGTGATAGGCCTGCCTCGGGCTCCCAAAGTGCTGGGATTACAGGTGTGAGCCATGGTGCTCAGGCTGTTTTAATTTTTTTTAATTATCTTTTTTTAATTGGGAAAAAAAAAAACTTTATACTTTTTGAGACAGGGTCTCGCTATGTTGCCCAGGCTGGTCATGAACTCCTGGGCTAAAATGATCCTCTCACCTTGGCCTCTCAAAGTGCTGGGATTACAGGTGTGAGCCAAAAGTGCTGGGATTACAGGTGTGAGCCACCGCGCCCGGCAGAGATAAAGGATACCATTTGTAAAGTACAAATCAACTTTAAAGAAAGCACCCATAATAAAATTGAGAGACTGTTACGTAAACCAGTACACCATTCTCCATATGATTACTTCTGTTCTGTCCATCTAAATCTTAGTTATTTGGATTCTTGCCGATTTACAGAGTGAGAGAGGCAATTCAAGTGTCTTTCTAAGGGCTATCTGCTGGGTGATCGACCTCCTTCTCAGCGCAGTGGACAGGCTGCCAGCTTGCAGTGTTCATCCTACAGGTCATAAGGAGGGACTAACCCAGGGGCCTGCCCGCCTTAAGACCTCTCTCTGGGGCCACAGACTGGAGTTCCATGCACCCTACAAATGTGCCAACTCTCCTCTCCATGGGCCTAAGAGCAGAGCCCTTCTTATCAGGCAAATCCCAAGTCAAACCCTTTCCGTTTTCTTGGGGGTACCCAGCCCTCACGGATGAGATGACGCCACCAGCTCAGCGCCGCTGCAAAGATGCGCCCTCACCTCTGAAAACCTCTCCACTTCCGTGTTCTTATGATCCTTCTTGCCAGACATCAGCATCAACTTGTTCAAAAGCTCCTTCAGCTCCTCTAAACAGTACTCCCGTGGCTCCTCGTGGCTGCCAGGGCTCCCAGGAAGGACCAAGTGCAGAACCGTGTCTGGGGAAATCTGTGAAGAGCACAGGCGAGAAGTCGCTTTCCTGGGGGCAGAGGCCCTGGACTGGCAACAGCCCGCAGACAGGCGGCAGCTGCACCGAGGGGTGGGGACCGCTCACCTTTTGGCCACCTTTGGGTGCGTGGATCACATACATGCCTCTTTGGTTGATGGCCGTGGCCAGGGTCAGGGATGAGAGTTCCACAGACCCATGACTCTCCTTCACAGTCTTCAGCCACTCCAGGTTCCTGGCAGAGTCACACTGTGGGGACAAAAGGAGAGAACACGGGCCACAGTTGGAGAGAGCATCTTGCCCTTCTCCCTCCTGCGATCGGCCTCCCGCCTCTGCCTCGCTGCACAGCCTTCTCCCCACGCTTCCCCAGGGATCAGGACGCAGTCGCCCACCCAGTGTCCCGACTGGACCAGGTGCGGTGCCACCCTGACAACGTGATGTGTCACTCAGTGCCGCTTTGTACTCGCTGTTCACCCACATTTCCTCTAGTGCCTGGTGTCCCGGCTGGCACGTGGGGGCACTTGGCTTATATTTGTGGAGAAGTAGAAGGGAATGAGCAGCTGCCCGTCTGCCTCTCCACCAGACGCCATCATTCTGCCAGGTCCCCAGTGCAGAGAACCTCAGGGAGTGACGCTGGAAGCAATGGCTGTGGGAGTCCCAAGTCCTCAGTGTCCTTCTGTGGCCCCCAAGTACAGTAAGAGGAGTTCAGGAAAAATGACAACAGAGGGTTTTGTTTGGAAACTCTCCTGAGTTTCTAGCAGAAACATGAACATAGCTTTACCTGCCCTTCCATATGTCACTTCTTCCTCCACCCACGTGCAGAGCATACCTAGATATGGTATCTAGTTAAGCTGCATAAGTCAATTCAGACCCTGCTACAGGAAGTTTACTTAAATTTAAATGTTTACTTTTTTCTTTCCTTTTCTTGTTTTTTGAGACAGAGTCTCACTTTGTCGCTCAGGCTGGAGTGCAGTGGTGCGATCTCAGCTCACTGCTATCTCCGCCTCCCGAGTTCAAGCAATTCTCCTGTCTCAGCCTCCAGAGTAGCTGGGATTACAGGCGCACACCACCACGCCGGGCTCATTGTAAATGCTTACTTTTTTCTGATAAAATATTATATCAATTATAGAAAATAACAAAAAGTAACAGAATAAAATGACAATTACAACCATTCAGAGAAAACTCCTGGCGACATTTCAGCATATTTCCTTTCTATCTTTTTTCCATGTGTGTTTTGCACCTTAGAGATTACTATGTGTCATGTCATTTTGTATCCTGCTTTCTAAGTAACAAGATGGTGAATTTCCATTTAGGAAGAACAGCTTTTCAAATATCATTGAAAACGGCTGTGTACAAACCTACCACACAGGTGTACCACCGTTTGCAGTCACTCCCCTAATGTTGCTAAGCCACGCTGTATTCAATGTAATCTGCATTAGAGCCAGAATAAGACTCACCAGTTTCCTGGGCAGGTACTGGTCATTGTCCAGAGCCTTCCACAGCTCTTTCAGATGCTTCATGAAGGCATCAAAGCCCACCCTGGGGTCCAGCTTAAACAGCAGGGATGCATAGCCCTGCACGGCGTCATGGAAACAGGCCACCCGGTCCACGTCAATGTCATTCTCCCCCGCTGAGATGGAGGCCAGGTCCACAAACACCTTCAGCTCGTTGATGCCTGGGAAGAGAAGAGGGGAGGTCAGCGTGGGACTATTCCGTGAGAGCACAAGACTCAGTCTTGGGCAGTAATCCTTACTGAAGCTGAAATGGACATTTCATAAATGTTTAAGGTTCTGTCCACTTTCTGCTTTCAGTAAGAGTCCAGAACACCTAATCTTTTGTAGTGTTTTTTTTTTTTTTGAGACAGAGTCTCACTCTGTCACCCAGGCTGGAGTGTAGTGACACGATCTCAGCTCACTGCAACCTCCGCCTTCCAGGTTCAAGTGATTTTCCTGCCTCAGCCTCCCGTGTAGCTGGGATTACAGGCGTCCACCACCACGCCTGGCTCATTTTTTGTATTTTTAGTAGAGACAGGGTTTCGCCGTGTTGGTCAGGCTGGTCTCCAACTCCTGACCTCAGGTGATCCACCCGCCTTGGCCTCCCAAAGTACTGGGATTACAGGTGTGAGCCACCACGCCCAGCCTAGAGTGTTTGTTAATACCAC